GTGCCAGTCTCAGACCATCTCAGACCAAGGGACCCATTCCATGACGCCAGAACATCTTCATCATGCTGCTCCCTGATGTGGTCCCACAACTGGCTGCCTGCTCCTTAGCACAAGAACCATCATGAACCATCAAGACCAAACATGAAGCAAGTGGGAATCCTCTAATCCTCTTGTGGGTCCAGATGCAATGACACCAAAACTCAGCCATACTATATCACACAGCACCCACATGTAAGAAACAAGACAAATAAGGACAGAAGTATGCTGAGAAGCGAAGGACCGTCGCGAGGCACCCGTCATGGAAGCGGTGCTCCTCAACGTGGCGGCGCCAGAAGTCCCTTGCCCTGCACCACCGCCCACACCGCGGGCACGACATGGGCAAAGCAAGGGACGGACCACGGACGGACCAAAGTGAGGGATAGTGAGGGGACGGACCAAAGTGAGGGATAGTGAGGGGACAGACCAAAGTGAGGGATACCACGTTTTGCAAAATGGCAAACATATATGACACGTCTTTGGGGCTGGTGCTTTGTTGAATATGTCTGAGTGATTGTAATGTGGTTGCATGATATTGCATGTTGCTGAAAGGCTGATGTGACCTGAAGTGATATGACATGATGTGAGATAATGTGATGCTTTCTGTTCTGTCTGGTGTCAAGTAGGTAAAGGATGATGATACATAGTATAAGTAGTAGATAAAGGATGATAAAGAATATAAACACTCAATGATGATAAATAGTACGTGAAGGATGGTGAAGGATGGTAAAGGTATATTTTCCTATAAAAGAGCATAGACGCATAGACATATATTTTCCACTGAGCCCCAGCTGCAGGTGCATTGAATCGTCGTGTCCCATAAATCCGCTCCTCCCATTTAAAAAAAAACGTCCATACACTTCCATACATGTCTAAGGTCCAGACATAAGCTTCCATCGCCCGTGGCCCAATGATCCAACCAAATGGCTGCGAAAAACATGACCGAAGTGTGGGACGGACCAAAATATGGGACGGACCGCAGCTGCGAAAAAAAAACTAAATGTATTTGAAAATTGTAACTACATACCCCACCCCCCACCTCAATTACATTTTTAAGAGGGTAGCCATAGGAACCTGGCCTATTCATAACAAACGCACTTGAACCCCAACATTTCCAGGTGGTCACAATATGGAAGACCAGCTTCTAAGAAGGCCTCCAACACAAAGAGTCCATCAGCCAGCTTGGGCGTTGCCCTCTTCGCGGCCTCTTTCACTTCGATGGGCGCCATGCTCTCGACGATGCTCTTCTTATTTGTGGCCCAAAAATCTACACCGACTCCGGCGGTGAAGCGCGCCCCGGTGGTCTACGGGGCGGAGCGGGCTGGAAAAACTGCGGGAAGCACAACATCTTCGATTCGCGGTGAAAAGAGACATCTCCCAGGAAAATTAATGAAAACACCAACCCACCACCGTCCTGACAGGGTTGCGACCTGTAGAATTTTAGGGACTGACCGAACTCGGCTCTGTTTTTTGAAGGACAGGACAAATTTGGAATCGTTCCCGCATCAGTCTCTGCAAGGTTCAAGCAGGTGTCAACCCCGGCAGAACATGAAACCCGTTCAAGGTGGCGGATTGTTTCTCGATCCGCGCGCGCGCGCGCTGTGTGCGCGCCGTGCGCCTAAGTTTGTCATGACGTGTCGAAGCTCTGCAGCGGAGATGATCCCGTTGCCCTGGGTGTCAAAGACGCGGAAGGCCTCGCACAACTCCTCCTGCGGACAGGGTCAGGACATGTCAGGACAATATATAGGATACTTAGTGGGTTCTAGGAGTTGTTGAGTTGTAAAAGAAGAGGTGAAAACGACGTGACAAAGGGTTTGGCTTTTGAATGCTTTTGATATGCAAAGGATTTGCAAGGAATTGGTTCTAGAACATGCAAAATCTCGTAAAATCTCTATAATCGCACGAAGGCACACCGCCTTGAAATTAAATGCGCAAAGTCAAACAACATGACAGCATCCAATTGTACAAACACTGCACCCAAACGTCTATCAAGTCTATCCAGCATCCAACAGGTATAGTGATGCAGTTGGCAAAGTCAAGCCCCAACAAACCAAATACATCCAAATTACTAGGACCTTCCAACAAACAGGTGGCTTACTTGTAGGGGAGCTGTTGTAATCCAAAGAGAACACACAATGATGTAGTTCCAAATTAAGACCTGTCCGAAGGTCCAAAGCAATGGCTTTGAAACTCAGGGGCTTTTAGGGGCTAGGGTTTGAAGAGCTAAGGTTCACAGCAAATGCATTCTTTGTTAGGAATCACGGTGGGTGGTGGTGGTGCTGCTGCTGCTGCTGCTGGCTGTGCTCTGTGTTTGACATGCAACTGCCGTCCCAACCGCAACTCACACCTTCTTAGTGCCTCTGCATGCGGTGCAGCCTTCTGTGGTAGCTGTTCACACCTTTGAGGTTTGACCTACGTGTTCTCCACCACTCGGTACAGGGAGAGAAAACATGCACTTTCTATTCTATGAGTTATGTCAATTGATGTCGTTGCTATCGATTCTCTCAGCAGTATTGGGAGGAATGACATTGGACATCACAAACGGACGCCCATTAAACATATAGAGATGAACAACGTGATCAATGCTTCTTCACACACCTGGCATGTGTTGCCTATGAAACCCTATGAAACTCAAATTGCGGCATACTACCGCGATCCACACAATGGCGCACACACTTTGAAGATTCATCTAACGAAATTCAGCTCGGACCCTTCTAAGGGTGAAGGATGACGATTCATCAGGAACCGACTGCTGAACTCTGAAACGTGCTTTCAACCTACAAACGAAAAGCATAGTGGGTTCAATCATCTTGTAGGTTGAACATCAAACATCTGAAACCACATGAAACCACCATCACCGGACACGTGTTTGGCTGTTGCCTCTGTTGGCCCCGCTGATGTGCTGATTCTGTGTGGTCTCCGCATCCGTGCTCCTCGCAGTCCGTGTCTCGCATCTTTCGTGCTTGCCTCGCAAGGACTCCAGGCTGCGTTCATTCACACTCCCCACTTTTCCCAGTACTGCCTCAACAAAATGGCGTCCAATGCAGTCATCTCCAAAAGAAACATGCCTGTGAGTTCGGTAGAAGGTTGGGGTGTCTGATTTTGTAGTGAAAACTTCGAGGAGGATGAAGGAACAGTGTAAGTGCAGCTAGTCCATATGCAACTGGCTTGCAACATGCAACTGACTGGCGCTCGGGAACACGGCTCGGGCGAGGCACATGGTGAGAAACTCGGAGAAATCCATGGTCCCATTTCCATCGCAATCGATTTCGTTCACCATGTCCTGTCATTGGACTTGGCAGTTACCGACTCCCGACTCAATGATTCCTATAGCTGGTTAATTGTTTGCAAGGTTCTGGGACACGTTCTGGGACACGCATCCCCCATGGACATTCCAATTGGACATCAATGGAATCTATCCAACCCACCACAAGTGCATTCTGTAAACTGACGGTCCATAGTCCACAAACCCACAGCACTCACCGAAAGAATCTGAATTGCCTCTCATCCCTCGCTCATCGCTCAGCGGACAATCTTTCGCTGGGCTCGTCGCTCGGCTCCAAGTAGGGTTTGCAACTCCACATCACCTGAACGGCCATCACCTGCTCCACATTGGAAGCATGCGATAAACTCTCCACCAGTTGCCTCTTCCTTGGGGGAAGCACCGAAACGTACGCACAAACTCACAAACACTCACAAAAACACATAAAAGATCAACCTCTTCTTCAAACGAAACAAAAAAGAATCAGCCGTTTCTCCAGGCTTCAGCTGAACATCGTCTTCCGCGCGGTCTGCCACCCGAAAGAGCTCCCAAATCTCCGCATCCGCCGGACCGTCCGCTGCGGCCGCGCGCGCTGCGCTGTGTAGCTGGGCAGCAGAAGCCTCACAGGTCTCGAGCAGTTCGTGGAGGACTTGGAAGATGGGCTCCACATCCTCTGCCGCCATGCGATACCTGGCCCAGCTGCTTACAGACGATCGAGTACAAGGTGGGGGAGCTATGGAGAGGTTTAGTGTGTCCGGTGGATGATCCAATTCTGACTCCATGAACTTCCCTGGAAACTATCGTTAACATGACAGTGACCTAGTGACCGTTTTTGAGTGGGAAACTCAATTCCCCCTCCCAAAAAAAGAAAGGTGTTCCACTGTGGGTGCCCCAATCACTGGGGCCCGTCTAGGCAATGCTCCGTGCACTCTGGGTCCCCCCAAGCTGCGCTCGGTCGGGTGCCGGGCGCCGTCCAACGTCGCCCGGTTCACGCCTTTCTCGATCGGAGACTGCGAGATCACGGCGTTGCAAAACGTCCATCAGCTCCTGAGGGTTTGGAACCAACTCGTTTTGGCCAGAGATTCCACCTAGAAATCGCCGGTGCTACCTGTCCCATGTGCTACCTGTCCTTCTTCCTGATGCTGTCACTCTGTGCAATCGATGGGGGACATTTTAGAAGGATAAACAAATGAAACACACATCATAAGGACAAACGTGTTAGGGATCCCCTGAGCGGAAAACAATCTACATTTGTATACATTTGTTCTTTTTTTTTGCCGCTCAGACTTGTGAATCGGTTGGATCTGACAGCATTGGGCTGGACAGCTTGTCTGATGAGTGGCACATCTTCGAAGGTCAGGGGATTGAACGTCATGTCATGTCGTTCACCCCCCAACAAAACCAAACACGACCAAACAAGGGCAATTCAATTGGGATCTTCTTTTTTGATTTGCGAAGATGCGCTCAGTAGTCATCCATGACGGTGGAAGAACTAACTCGCAGCCCTGGGCAACTCTAGCCCTCTAGGCTTCGCCACATGTGTGTTTATGTGGAGGGGTCTTCACACTATCCTGCCCACAAAAGCTCCATAATACAATTAATGATAATGATCACGGTCATCCTGGGGAGGTTCGTGAAAGATCGTGAAAGCAGATTGGTCTTCTTCAGCTTTGAACAGCTTTTGTCTCAAAAAATCTCCGATACAACTCCCCAGCTCACTTTCAAGTCCCAGGAACCTCTCATTGTTCATGATTGTTGTCAACTTCCAGGTTTCAGGTGACGACCTGTAGACCTCTGGCCTCTGGCTTGGTGGTAATTGGGCCCCCCTGGTTCACCCAGTGAACACCATGGACTTCACAACGCATACGGCTGAACAAAAACGAAACGCGACACATGGACACATGGGGAAGCGACCCCCATACAACTAAGAACCGACCCGAGTGGTGGTGGTGGTCGGTGAACATCTCAACATTGGAGAATAGATTTTTCGACGTCCTACCCCCCCCCCGCCGCGCACAGCGACTCCTGCACATGATGTCAAGCATCTGAACTCTGCACATGATTCTCCGAAAACTAATCAGTATCTGTCAACTGAAAACGTACAGTAATCAACCAAAATGAACTGAACAAGTGCAGCCCGGGCTCTTGAAGTAACGCAAGCCCGCGAGCATCAGCTTTTTGCAGTTCCGTCAAGTGCAGCTCAGGGCCCCGTTTTTGGCGCTCCATGGTATCTCACAAAAGGATCCATGGCATCTCCATGTGTTTCGGTGATAACAAGAACAACCAGCGGCCGCACACAACAATTTACCTAATTACCTGATATGTTTGTCATTTGTGGGTTCCGGTGCACCTGGGCATGTCCACTTCATCAAACACAGCTTGAACTGGCACAGCAAAGAAGATTCTGGTCGTGTACCATGTGCATAGGTTTACCATGCGCCCAAGGCGCCTGGCTTGATTTAAATCCTCATCAACTACCCAAGGCATTCCAAATTCTAAATTGTTTAGTGTAAACACATGGAAACAAAAAACTCCTTAATCTCCTGAAGAGTTATATAGATGGCAGCCCAGGTTGGTTTTCACATGAAAATGGTCCCTTTGGAAGTGACTTTCCTTTACTTTCCAGTTACTTTCACGTGAACATCGAAGAAACACCAGTCTAACATGTAGACCCCCTGGGTTCGGTTCGGGAACATCAACCAGTCTACCTACCGACACTTGGTTTGGTGTCAGACTTGTTGTCTTCCCTCTTAAGATACACACCCAAGGCCTTCGACTCCGAGCTCCCCTTCAGCCCTTTCGCCCTTCGACTCCGCTCACCTGCCGGTCTTCCCGGTATTCCACAACCTACCGCTTCGTCGCCGTTCCAATCTACCAATTTCCGTTGGCATAGTTCACCACTTCCATAACCGAAGGAGTGCGGGACAACCATTGCTTGACCTTCCTGGTCTTTGGATGCGTCTCGCCCTCCAGCAACCGCTCCTTGTCATACAACGCCTGACACCACTTTGCAACCTCCGGTCCGCCGAAACCGACATGTGCCTGTATGAGGTCCAAAGCAATTTGTGACTCTACCAGCAAATGCGGTAAAATCTTCTCCTTGCAATACAAGCCCTCCATCTCTTCCACGATTTGCTTCACCATTCGTAAGGATGATGCTGTGTTTAACCGGGTGTTGAGTGCCGCAAGCCGCTGCCTGCGCTCATTGGTTGCAATGCTCTTCTCAATCAATGCCATTTTCTCTGCTCCAATCAGTGCTGTCATATCATCGTCTGTCATGTTGCCATCATCCATGGATCGCACCAGTTCTCTTACCTCTTGCAGTCCAGGGCATTCACATGCCTCGCATTGACACTTGAACCCCCATCCCATCATGGTGCGCTTCTGCCGGGTGTCTGAAGTCATGAAGTTTGCATGAAAGTAGGTCACACAAATTTCCTCACCAGCTTGGATATCTCTCATCGCCTGAACCACTTGGCTCTGCACATCATGATTCCACCGGTACGATGCATTGGGGCAGCAGCTATGGTTGAATCTGCTGATGAGGGGAAACAAGCCCACAGAATTGGAATCTCCCACTGGCAGGCTGTTTGTCTTGAAAACTCCTTCCGGGCTCTTATACCCAGCATCTTGTACTTCTGAAACATGTGCGGAGGGCACTGAAGTGAGTGTATAGAGCTTTTCCCAGGATGATTTGATTGCACCCTCCTTGAAGAGTCTGTCGACAATAGCGCGTGTGAGCTTGTTGTTTGTCTGCATGTCTTCAAGCGAAAGCACCTGATGGGGCGCCAAAGTGTTTCTATGTGTTTCTACTGCCTTGTGCTGGATGAACTATCTTGATCACAAGGTTTAGGGGTTTAAACATAAAACCTCTCGATCCCTGTAGTAGCACGATGGTTGTTCTTCAGTGAGATACTCCTCCGAGTCATTAACATGGAAGTGGCAGACCTGCTGTTTGCAGAAAAATGATTGGTTTCCAGGAGCCAATTGTTGACTTCCATGATTGTGTCAAGGACTGTACATTTTGACCTCACCTTGGCTTGATCGGATTCTGAAAGCCGCTCAAACTTTTCTTTGATCAGCTCATGTTGTCGATCAAATTTGGCCGGAGGCTTGTTAGACTCGGACCAAATATCCGACAAGCCAAGCTCATCTCCAGTGATGCACAAGATGTGCTGGTCTCGCACAATGATCTCGCCTGCTGGAATGAAGTCTGATGCTATCACGCCAGCACCTTTCCCATCGATCACCGCCACGTATTTGCAACAAGGATGTTCTGCAAAGAGCTCAGCTGGATCAATGCCCTTCCCAACAACCTTGAGTGTTTGATTCACTCGTTGATCTATTTTGCCCGCGTTCTTTTGGCACCATGTCTTATGGGTCTTCCAATCTAAGCGCTGGCATTCAGGACTGCAGTAGCAGCGATCTTTGCACTGGCCGCATAGTTTCATCTTGTCGCCCGCTTTCTCGCACACAGCACAGCTTGGTGACATGGTGCAACGTGTGAAATCAGCTGAAAAGCCGAGCTGCATTGACCCCTGTAATCACTTGGAACATTTATCAACATTGATCAATCACTAGCGTCACTAACTGGTGGATGATGGTCAACGGTCCCCAGAAAGGGTGACTATACCAACAAATCATAATTCAGCCGCAGTTGCTGATGCACGCCTGCACGCCGTTCCTTTCTGATCTGTGTTATGTCAGATGTTCAAAACATGAGTCCACATCATGTCCTATCCCATCATCTGCTGCATACACATCACACATCTGCTCTTTTAGTGAAAATCCAACACAAATGCGGGAGCCAATGACTCGACCAATGTCGGTTCCTGACACGATTGGACCATGCTGACATGTGCATACCTGCTGGCCGAGGCAGTTTTAAAGTGTCAATGTCCAGCAAGGGATCTGATTCATCCTGAAAATCCCTCTTCTCCCCTCAATTTCAACCATAGACCTTTGGGCCTGGCCATAGACCTGGCCTACGCAAAGGAGACGACCGCCGCACTCTCACCACCTCGGTCTGAAGACCTCACCCTCCGCCCCGAATTCTCTTCCCTCGCCCTCGTGCAAAAACGGTCCTGCAGCTCTGCCTCAGTGGGGTTCTGGCCAAGGGAACGCATCAGGGGGCCCAAGTCCTTCACGGAGATGCAGCCTCCTCCTGGCGGAATGGCGGAGGTCCCCTTCCCTTCTCCTCACTGGAGGACTCGTCGCCCGAAGGCCCGTCAAGAACTGGATCTCCCAACGGCGTTGCACTAGTAGGCACGTGCGCATGGGTGCGTGCCTCAAATGCCCACATTCTGAGGACCTGACTGAACACTACGAAGTGACGAGAAAAGAAACAGGTAGGAATGAAACAGTAAGGGCCACAAAAACGGTTGGGAGGTTTAGTTGAAGACACAACCCTCAGGAAATCCGAAGGGCTCCCGGGCTACCAGAAAGACATGTTCCCTGCACTTGGCTTAATAGAACATTTCAGCCCACAGCTAGGAGCTCCGACGGTCATGTCAACGTGACTTCTATAAAAGAACCTTGGGGATTGATATTGAGGAGGGTGGGTTCTGAAGAAAGGAATATCCATCCTCGTTGCAGCTACGTAATCACCATCCACGCAATCAAATACACTTTGAGTGAGGAGAGGGCCTATGTCATCCTGTTTCCACCACCACTGTGATCCTCCACGGTCTTAGCGCTGCCGTCCTGACAAAGAAGAGCCCATTCTTGGGCGCTGCGGCAGTTGTCGATTTGCAGACACTGAGCATGTTGGCAACTCCTTAGCCCAGAAGATGTTGCGTGCACAAAGCAATGACCGAAACAATCAAACACAACCTGAGAAAAAGGATCCCTTCCATATCGCGCGCAGTCATTGCTTTTTTTGCCCTGCATCGCCAAGGACAATCTTTTGTTTGTCGCCATCTCTCATATCATTTATGAATCTCTCTCTCAAGAACTACAGACGTTCTCTGTCACTACATCAGCCTTCCTACCTGCCTACCTGCCTAGCGTGAGATCGGAAGACCCCACTGCCCCCTTCGGAGCCGAACATGTTGCTTCGCTTCGCTTCGCTTCGTTCGTCACGCTTCGCTTCGTTCCCCACCCGGAGTGATGGTGATCCGGAAGAGATTCCAAGACGTCCGAGGTCGAGCTGATGGCCAGGAGGGAGGTATACTTGGTCACCACTTGGAACTCCAGGCCTGGTCGGCGCTTCACGGCGCACGACGGGGTGTTGTCACGTAAGAACGACGGACGGGGGTGCCGAACCTGATCCACTCTCACTCACTCGGATGGGACTCAAGACCATCCCGTCTGGTGAAGCCCCTTAGGTAAGGGATTTTGTGGTGTTGTCTCTCCCTCACTGTCACTTTCTGCACTCATCATCTCTGATCATGGCTGATACTGTGGCTGATGTGTGATTGCAATTGTGGTTGTGGATGCTTCTCCGTGTTCTTGTTTTCCAAAGCACATGGAAGCGAGATTGGCATCATGCTTCCACGGAAACAGTAGCAAAGTACAACATGCGTGGTGAACAAGCACAAAATAAGGCTCAAGTCTATGAGATGAACAAGCTCCCCAAGTCTTCATCAATCCTGAAGACTCGCATTTGTAAATAAAGCATTATA